CTGGATGCTGCTTTTTTCCTTTTTCTCCTCTTCTCCTCCCCCATTCTTTCACTTACTGAGTGTTCTTGAGTGTAACGTGGTAAAAGGCCAGCATCTCTGCCTTCAGTGCTTTTCCTTGTACAAGCCACAGCAAATGAAGATTTTCTTTCTTGCCTAACATGAGGCTGTGTGAAATGAATTGTGGTTTGTGTTTGATAACTGTGGGGGGTTTTTTTCTTTCTTCTATTTTTTTTTTATTATGCTTAAGTTTTGACTGGTTTTATGTTGTCATGTAAATCGTCCTTTCTTGTAGGGTGGAAAGAGAGCGGTATTTTTTAGTTAAGCTGGATGAGTTCAGTTTTCTGAGACTCATACGCAAAACACCAGTGTGGTGGCGGGGAGACTTTTATTTGCAGTAAGGCATCTGTTAAGTATAAGGATGTCAAATCTACTTCACAGGTGGGTCAACTGTTTCTTAACCAGGAACAACTTGTAAACTGAATTTATCTACCAGGTCTTATGGAAAAAGGAATTTGTTATTCCTGTTTTCCTAAATTCATTTTGCCCACAGTTTTATCTGCTTTTTCCCCCTAGTGAGTAAAAAGCTATTCTCAGTTTTTTATATAGAATATAATTTAATAGAGGAAAACTAATGGGATTTTGTGAAATGTAATGTAAAAGTCTACAGAAGGTTATGCAAATTTTGAATTTTTTTTTTCTAGCCCTGTTACAGAATCCAAAACAAACTAGTCAAACCTAAAAATTCTAAGCAATCATTAATATGTACAAGAATATTGTTTTCATGTTGCATTTAAGTGTATTCCTTGAAGAAAAGTTTTCTGCCCTGACAGCAATTGTCCGTCTGACAGTGGGACTTGCTCCTTGCGATTTGGTCCTGCAGTTGCAGCAGTGTCTGTGCCTCTCACTACGTCAAAGTTCTCTTGCAAATTCCCAGTAAGCCCCCACCCATGCAAACTTAGACGATTGCACAGTTGGTGCTGCGAACTGTGAATGCCCGTCCCTGGTCTCTTAACACATCCTAATGTGATCCTCCAATTTTTCATATGAGTTCTTTAGGGGAAAATACTTTCTTTTATTTCTGTACACAAAAAGAAGGCCCAAAACATACAGCAAGTGCATTTGGGCCCCATTAGGAGTTCCAGGTGGTACCACAGCCTAAAACACCCACCTGGATGCCAGTTTAAAAACAAAGAAGGAAAAAAAAAAAAAAAGGCAAGCACAAAAGCAGCTGTTTTTCAGCGCCGTAAGGGATTTATTTTGCTGCTTACCTTAGTTATCAATGAACATGTTTAGTTGATCTGGTTTTTCTTTTGTTTCCAGCCTGTTCGCTTTCTCATTCTCATGCCCTAGAGCATTTCAGTTTTAGTCATTGCATGACATCGCTTAAATCAGAGTTGGAGTGAAGTCACAAAGGGCACAGTAAGCCAACCTTTGCCAAAATTCATGGGAGGAAACTGCATTCACAACTATTAGCATAGATTGGTAAATGAATACTGACCAGGGTGAAATCAAATTCACCTTAGCTTAGCTCGGCTCTTCATTTATTTTGTTTTATTTTGTTTTGTTTTATCAAGTCAGTTGTTTGTTAGTGTTGATCGCAAACATGTTATTCATGCCTCTATTCCCAAGTATCCGGCCTTTGAGTTTCGATGAGTAAAGTGGCTTGGAAAAAATCCAGATCAGTTCATGCAGAGGCTATGCACGTTAGTAGAAAACTGCTTAAAAACTCTGAGCGTGGATTCTGGATGCACTTTTACCCTAAAAAAAAGACACTGTGTGTGTATGTAAGTATACGTGTGTGTATATGCATATATACAATTACCTCAATCTACAATTTTCAGCAATTTACTGTCTTGCATAAATCTTTATACTGTTTCACATCATCATATGTGTTTTCTAAAAAAGTTCGAGGTTTCCTTGTCCTTTAGGGAAACACATTTTAGTTTACTTTCTGAGTAATGGTTTGCAAAGCATATACAGTTCTCTACTGTTTTGTAGTAGAGAATCTAAAAAAAAAAAAAATTAAATTTTCATGCATTCAATTTGTAACTTTTTAGAAAATAATAATTTAAATACCTGTAATTTTATCTAGTCAGACTAGTCTGATAGTACTCTAAATTTATCCTGAGATAGATGAAACATTCAAACTGCTCAAAAACTGTTTTCCTGTATACAAGTTCTGTGCAATTAAATTACAACATATAAACCATACCAATTTAGAATGTGGTGTTAATGTACTGAAATTGGTGGATTAGAGCAGTGTTTTCCCTCTTCTGCTTCTTTCTTCAAGAGGAATTTAAGATTGGACTGCTCTCCTTTTACATACGCTCTCATTCTAAGGATTCTCAGCATTATGAGTAGTTCAAACAATACTGTGATTGTGACATATATATATATACACGCGCTGTTTAAAGCAGCTCACTACAATACAGTGGTGTCGTTGAAACGCTGTGTTACGTGATTTCACTTTGAAGTATTGTGCAATGCACTATGTCACGTCGCACAAGCTGGTAACTGCTGATGTTTTATGGTGGCCCTGGCTGGGCTGTACTGGCAGGGTATACATCGCGTTTCAGCCCTGGTGAGGGGCACTAGGCGTGCGCATCCTTACCAGCGTGGAGCCAACCCCTCGGGGCATGCTCCATGCAGGCAGGGTGGATGGCTGCACGAGTCTCGTGTGAGGTGTTGGTCAAAAGCATCAGATTTGCAGGTAGTGCCCTTTTGGTCAAAAACGGAAAAGTTCCTGCCACCTTGCTGTAGGAAGAGCACATTGTGCAGAGGGTGAGGTGGTGTCGTGTGTGGTATTGCCAAGCTCTGAAGCCTTTTCCACATGCAAGGTGCACTTCCAAAGAGAGAAGTGCTTCATTTCCACTGATTTGTTCTGGTGGGGCGTGGGCTGCAGCAGTGTTACCATGCGTTACGAGTGTCAGCACCTAACTTGATCTGAGTGCAGGCTGTCCTTTGTGGTGAGGTGCAGGCACAGCTTAGGACGGAGGATGCCGACCCGCTGTGCGGCGTCTCTCTTCCTGGGCCATATGGCCCCAGCACCACCTCCTCGCATAACTTGGCACAGCCTGGTCTTTGAGTCGGGCAAATCCTGCTGGGTCCCAGAGTCAAGGCAGGGGTCACCAAGACGTGACAAGGCCTCCCCATTTGTCGGAGTCCATGTGGCAGAAATTCACCGTTGAGAAGAAAAGGGCTCTCCCTCTCCCCACTTGGTACTAATCATGGAGAACAATGCTGGCTGCTTTGCAAAATGTTATTACTGCTGTACAAAATCTGGGCCTCTGCTTATGGCCCGCTGAGTCAGACTTGTTTACTTCATTGAAGTATTAATCTTTGTCTCTGATTGGCAGTCAACAACTCCAGGCTCCAGACTTAATATAATTTCAAACTGTAGATTATGCAGTTTTGCTGCAAATATGAAGCTTCTATCGCACTTTGAATGATGTATTCTCCCTTACTCCCCTTTGGTCTGTTTTTCAGGGCTGAGGTTAAGATAGATAATTAATTCCTCCTATCCCAAGCCTTGTCTTTTAATTTAAGAATTTTCTCTAGCATCTGCCTGAATCTTCTGCATGCACTCCTGAGAGGTTAAGCAATGAAAGAGCCATTAAATTAACTTCAGCCATTATTTTTTTTCAGTAGGATGAAATAGCACTTCATTATATCAAACAGTTTCTGGTTTATTTCGTTTGGTGTCATGACAAAGAAAAGAAATGTGGGAAGAAGAGGCTGGTTTTCTGGTTGTGTGAGAGGATGGTGACTGAGGAGGCCAGTGTTCTGGTCCTGTGGCTTACCTCTGTGTTAGCAAGACGTAGGACACAAGGAGTGGATCAGTAGAGTGAAACAGCTATTGCCAAGGTCCTGATGTCCGCACTATGTGACTGGGAAGAGCGCGGCGAGAGGTTTAGGTATACTTAGCTAATGTATCAGTTTCCTCAGAAATACTTTGCTATTGCTGTTGCCTGTAAAGCCTTTTGTGAGAACGAAGCAGCGTCAAGCTCTGTTAGGCTGTTCTTTGATGTGTGGTGAGGTCCATAAATGCCATCACTGGTGAGTCACTCCTGGCTGGAGCTCTGATCACTCTCTTGCTAAGCAGTCTGCCCAATTCTCCATGCTATGTACTTGCCACTCCGAGAAACCCGTATGCTTTTTTCACAGGCATAACTTCCCCATTTAGAAAGCTGCGTATCTTAGATTTTTCTAAGAAATACATGAAAACAAATTAGTACAAAATCTCCTGGAATGGTCTCTCTGGCAAACTGCATGTACACCTGCTGGAAAGTCCCAAAGAGTAGCAGCAGGATCGAGCTTGTGTGTCAGAAACATGGCCAGTGGTCATACAAGCCTGTAGGGTAACTATTCTCATCACTTCTGTCTGAATAAAATAAGGATTGGAAAATCCGCTTTTTAGTCCACTTCAATTTTGGTATAGCTCCCCAATATGCAATTGCATTGAGAAGAATGTTGTTGCCACTGTACCAGAATGCTATATTTTAATAGCATGGAGATATTTTTAAAATCTCAATATATGCTTGGGATTCGTTTTGTTCATCTAAGCATAAAAGCATTGAGCATTAATTGTTCTAGATGCCTCTGTAGTTAATAGAAAGGCATCTCTCAAGAGAGACTCCTCCCATCCTCTGAGCTATGTCTCCAAAATTATTTGTGCAGATAGCCCCTGGCCATTGACTATGTCTCTGTAGGGAGCCTGAACAATTCATTCAGATGGGTTAAGTCAGCTGCAGATGGTGAAAGCTGTGAAATCAGATATGATGAAATTCCAAACTCTTTGCGGACTGTGAGCGTTATGCCTGATGATCGATCTATTCAGCATGATTCTCCTTATTTAAAGAATTATTTCATGTTATTATTTTTCCACTCTGTGGGTAACTGCTTTAACAAAAGCAGCGGCCAGAGCTCACCACAGCTTTAGATACTGCTCAGCAGGTTGTTCACTTCTATTGTCTTACATGTATTATTTTTGTCTTCTGTAGTCTTCTGGTACCAGTATCACAGTGGATATTGCTGTCATGGGAGAAGCCCACGGGCTCATTACAGACCTTCTGGCAGATCCCTCGCTGCCCCCCAACGTGTGTACTTCGCTGAGAACAGTGAGCAACCTGCTTAATACACAGTTAACCTTCCAGGCCATCCACAAGCCAAGGGTGAACCCTTTGGTGTCCTTCAGTGAGAACTACACCTGCTCCGACTCGGAGGAATGTCCGGAGAAAGGAGAGAAACTAGCTATTCCCAAGGTGAGTACTGGAACCTGTCTGTCATCTTTTAACTTGGCTCTCCCTGAAGGGACAGCACTGGACTAGTGGAAGATGTCACTGGGCTTTTTACTTGTTTGCTTCAGATTAACATTCTATGCACTAATCATACTCTACTATAAAAGGACAGCTAAGTAGACTGTTGGTTTCATAGTAAGACAATTCCTGTGTATCCTTCAACTCATGGCCAGGTTAACTTTGGTTCAGGCATCTTTAGAAGATGATGTTGGTTGGAGCTTAAGGGAGAAGAAATGATAGGGAGCTGAGCAAGCAAAAGCCTTTCAGCATCCAGACTCACAAGTCTGCCCCATTACTTCTCACACAGAAATTCCTCTCCCACTCAAAAGATTTGGGCCACTGCACATGGGGTGACTATCCTAGTCACTGAGCAGTGGGGAATTAAGTAATAATATGAGGGACCTTTTTGCCCATTTTGAAGACTGGAATTTGAAATTCTGTATGAATTTCAGTCTCTTCTTCCTTTTCTTAGCTAAAGGTGTGAAGCCTATAGAAGTAAATGAAAGAGTCTCTATTGATGACCTCCAGGTGCTTTGAATCAAGTTTAAAATGTTGTATACCAAACAAAAAAAATCACTGCAGTACTTAGTATGACAAATATTGTGAGCTCATGAGAAATAGTCTTGAGAAGAAAAAGAAGACTAAACCAAAAAAAAAATATATATTACTGCCTTGACAGATGGAATCCAACAGGAAATAACCAGTGTTAACCACCCACACTTAGTAAGTGAACAACTAGAAAGAACTCATCAGCTTTGAAGTAGTTTGAATTGTAGGTTCATTGCTAATTAGCTGTCCTGCAAGGCTTACATTTCACTTCTGAAACTAAACCGAAATACTTTTGTACTGCAATCCCCCTTGTAAAATTAAATATAGGCAGTTTGTTGCACAGGCAAATACTTTTAAGTTTTAACAGTTCAAATGGCACAGCCAGCATTCCTTCCAGCATTTCCAAGCATCTGAATTACAACACTTGTGATTCTTTTTTTAATATACTTCAGTGTGATGATAATTATTACCCTATTTGCCTATGTAGCAGCTGTATATATGAAATGGTTGTTCATAGTTTTTTAAGCACGTTTTCCAGTTTATTTTTGTGTACGTGTCTATAATGGCTGTGCTCTAGGCTCTGAGGGGAAAAGTTACGTGGAAGAGCACTGCCATCATATGAGCAAACACACTGAACAAATACCAGCTTGCTGTTGCATAATACCTGGTGAGGAGAAGAGAAATGAAGGATGAAGAACTGACTTAATGCTACAGAGAACTAATCTGAGTGAAAAATTCACTGACCTAAATGTATTACGGTTCATAAAACTAATAGTTTGCAGTTCTTTATTTAAGGGTCTAAATATAGATTTAGGGTCTTTACCTTAAGCATCTGACACTGAGCATTTTGGGTAAGGAGACAGTATGTTAACATATTTGTCTGTAAGTTTGAGCTTCAGAACCACAAGTGTCTTCCATCTCATATCTCTCAACCCTCTGGCAAAGTCAAAGCTCTTCATCACAGAGACATATTTATTTTAGTTCTTAACTATAAACACTTCACAAGAACTACAAGAGAAACATCTTACAAAATTATAGCATCTGCAACAGCAAATCTGGATCCACAAAGACTCTCTATCATTATCCTTTATTATCTCTGCCTTCAAAAATTCAGAAAAACAACACAAGTCCTGTTAATGGAGAAAAGGAAGAGTCAGGTAAAAGAAAACTAAAGGGTGGTCCAGAAAAATGTGCTGTAAACAATGATGCTTTCTCTAAGCTTTTCAGGAGACATTGTATCCTAGATTAGTGGGTGATCTTTGGATTGGGTAGATGTAGCAGGAAAAAAAGTTGGAACTCCCCTCCCTTATTTTTCTTACAGCTTTTCTTGCCTTGAATCTCTGATTCTGAGCATTCATGACAGTTTAAATCACAGGATAGCTGAGGTTGAAAGTACATCTGGAGATCGTCTAGTCCAGTCCAGAGATCATCTAGTCCAGTTCCTCAGCTCGAGCAAGCTGAGCCTGCAGCAGGTTTCTCTAGGCTCAACCTAGAGCAGGTTGCTCAGGAGAATGTCCAGTTGGGTTTTGAGTATCTCCATGAATGTAGGCTCCACGACCTCTCTAGGCAGCATCTTTCAGTGTTCAATCATCCTCACAATAAAAAATATTTTCTTACATTTAAATGGAATGTCTTGTATTTCAATTTTTGCCCCACTGCCTCTTGTCCTGTCACTGGATACCATTGGAAAGAGCCTGGCTCCATCTTCTTTACACCCTCTGTTCAGGGTAAGGTCTCCCCCGAGCCTTCTCTTCCTCAGGCTGAGCAATCCCGACTGTCTCAGCCTTTCCTTTTATGTCAGATGCTCCAATCCCTCAGCCACCTTTGTGGCCTTGATGACTTATTTAAGTGCCTTTGGCCACATCATATAAGACCAACATTTTTAAAGAGCACAGACAACATTGTCTGACTCCAGTGAGAGCTCCAAGTATTGAACATCTGTGGCTGTGAGGCTGTGGATATATACCTTTTTTTAAACTTGAAATGGGGAGGATGATCCAGACCCTCCACGCATTTATTAAAGCGCAAGCTGTGTTGAGTTGAGTAGAAGGTAGGCAGCATAATACCTGGCAGAATCCATATTTAAGGTACCTCACTAGGTGTTGTCATGCAGAATTAATCAAATGGGAGTGTTTGTCTTCTGCACATTTAAAGTTTTTGTAAGCCTATATAAACTCTAAGTAACTGATTTCTCCCTAGCGCTTGCGGAGAAGTTTGCCTCCAGGACTGCTGAGACGAGTGTCCTCAACTTGGACCACAACAACATCAGCCACAGGATTACCTACACTGGAGCCAGCTCCAGTGCGAAGGGATCGCAGTGCCAGCATCAAACCTCATGAATCATCTTCATCCAGGTTACAAATTACCTCCTCTCTCTTTTATGTCTCTCTTTGAGCAAACCGCTTTGGTTCTGTGCGATGATGTCCCTCATTTAAAAATGCTGACCCCAAAATGTGTTAGAACTACTTCTTCATGCTTCTCTAAATTGGGTTGCCAAAGCAATGGCATTCCCAATTTTAGTCAGATTATGCCAAAACTATTCCTATTACTGGGAAGCAAAATAAAAAAAAATAATTAAAAAATATATTTATGCTAGCAAAGTGCAGAATTACACAATAAAGTTGGAAACAAGGTATCTGGTTAAAGTTTTCTTGATATGCAGCAGTCTCCTCCGTGGGTATTGCTCAGCCAAGAAAAAAACTCTAACAAGTAACCCAGCTAATGATCATCTCTTCTAAGAACACACCTAGTGATGTGGTCCTGTCATTGAACCAGTTCATAAAGCACTTCTCCATCCTCTAGATACTAACTTCCAGAACACAAACCCTGATTTTGAGTGGACCCTCCTAAAATACACAATTTTATGGGTTTCTGTCCATAGAAATGAAGTATCATCAGACCATGCAGCACAGTACATGCCCTGCATCCCATGTACGCACTTAATTCCAGAATGTAAGAAGTGCTTAGGGCTCCCTAAATGAACTCATGCAAATGCAATAACAGCAATAAATGGTAAATAAAAACTATAGAGTTGGATAAGTCAAAAAGTGATTTAGTAGAGAGAAGGAAGTAGATTTTTTACCATTGGGAAAAAAAAAACCAAAAGGTATAATCCAGGAGTAAAATTACAAAGGAAGATGTGCTAGTAGAGATTGAAAGCAAAGCTGGAAATGAAATGGGCAGTGCAGTTTTCTTGCAGGGTGGTTGCTGTACTTTCCCTGACTTTAAGCACTGCAGTGGAACACTTCTTTCCCACAGAGTTTAGCTTCTGGGATTCAGAATCCCAACTGTCCCATCCTTAATCCCAACTGTCTCATCTAGTTAAAAGGCTTTTCCTAATTTGCCACAAGAAACAAATACACACAGCTGTTTTGTTGGGGTGCAGACTGAGTGCCTGCTTCTATTTACGATGTATTTATTTACTTATTCATTTGAGATGCCCCGTATTTACAAGGGTTCTGTAGGCAGGTGCTGGTACTGGAAGAGTCACTACAAAGCAATAATTAATGAAGCCTTGAAATTAATTTCAGCAAATTCACTGGAGGAATTGTGCATTATTTGTTTGTCTTACCTGGAAAAAGAGTTCTGGGTTCAGTCATGACACATAAACTTTAAGGTTATGTTCATATAGTGCATCATAGAAACAAAGCACTAGATCTGCAAAGAGGTTTACACAGGCGGAGGTACCTAACTACCTACCTACTCCATTTTGTGCCCAACCCAAAATTTAGTTCCAATTTCCTAAACCATGTGCCTGAATGTCTTTCAGAGTTACCCAGAAGCACACTAGTTCTCACTCTTCTGAAGAGCCAGGTTTTTATCTTACGGCTATAGTCCCTCATGACTGACTATATCAATTAGGTATTTGCTGCTCGCTCTTACCCGCTCTTTTTTTCTTCAGGCCTGATCCCTGAGCTGGTATCATAAAATACATAGTCCTCCCATGAAACAGAGAGAGAGAGAAGTTGTGTCCGCTTAGCTGCTTACAGCCAGCAGCTGACTGGTTTAGGGCATTTGCAGAGGACTACCCTAAGAGTTGCTTCTCTGCCTGGAGGCATTCAGACCTAGGTACCTCGCATTTTGGGACTTCCATGCTACCAGATAGCCCAAGGTGAGCTGCATTTAACCCTCCAGAAGGGCTACAACAGGTAATCCAGTAGCAGCCAGTGAAGGAAGGAGCTGAAAGTGCTTGGGGCCCCGGAAACGTTAACTATGGTAAAAAACAGCAGGATTTCCTCCTTTCTGGCTCCATGAATATTTTTCTGTTCTAGTCAGAAAGGAGCAGAGCCTTCAAAGGAAGGGCAGAGGGCGGTCAGTCATGCAGCCTGGTAGTTACGGTGCCACCCTGTGAAAATAAAGTTCAGGTTCCCTCCCCACCTCAGCAAGGGTGAGCAATCATCTTGGACCTGGTGGATGAGGAGGGAGTGGGGAGACATGGTTTGCTATGGGGAAAGGAAGAGCAGAGCAAAAGTACTAAATTCAAGAAGAGAATTCAGAGCTGTGATATCAGAAGACTCTGATTTCTCTGCAATTCAAAGTTCCGTGCCAGTAATGAAGGAAAAGATAGGACCCGAGAAGGCCCAACATCACCAGTGTTTGCTGTTGGATGGCTCGGGTGAATGCAGCCCCAGAGAGCTGCTTTGGTCGGCCTTTCTTCCAGATACGTAAAACTCTCCCATAGAGGAGGCTCTCGTGCAGGGCACCTAGGTGCTCAAGGCAGCCTGCAGAGTACACTGAATGTCTGGTTCAAGAAAAATACACGGTTAGCCAAAGTTCCCTTTGTGAGGAGTCCCGTGTATCTCAGTAAAAGTAAATATAAAGAAGCTATCGCCAAATGGAAATGTTCTTCAGTCACCAGCCTGTGGTTCCCAGGGTGCATTTGATTTATACTGTTGATCCCAGACTCTCACGTAGTATGTAAGCATCCTAAGATGGGAATCAGAGAGAGAAGGAGAGCAATTAAATATTATTGCTGGTCCTTTTCTATGGTTGTTATATAACTCTGCATGATGAGCCAACTAAGCAGGCTATCAATTCTTTCTACGTTTAATGTCGCCAATTGTATAATTATAGCTCTGTCAAGCCTCCCAGCCTACTGTTTGCAGTTCTTCTTTTACAAGTGGAGAAACAATGTGTATTCCAGAAAGGGTAAAAATTAATCCTATAAGTCTAACTTTAAAAATTTTGGCAGACCAGTACAGATTTGCTTTCAAGGAAAAGAATTTTGAACTGAAGGGAAAAAAAAAAATCTTGATTATTTGCCACTTCCCCTGTGCCAAATTCAAGCACGCCACAGGTCACAGGGAAAGAAACATTTCATGGCTTGAAGGGTAGGAAAGGGGAAATGACAATGGAATAGCCCCGTGGCAGATTCTGCAGTTACAAAATCTGCAACTTGTTCCTCACGGTCTGGGATATTACCTGTAGATTTCCATAGTCACATATTTGCAAAAATCTTTGTTTAAGATCAGTAATCCTGTATTCTTCCAAGCCCATGCCACTCAGCTGGTAAGATGTGGTCCTCTTACAGCTTCAAATTATTTGGGAAAAATGAGTAGACCTTCCACATTCCTTCCCTCACTTACTTCTGTATCCAGTGGTTCTCCCTTAAGTAGTCTAAGAATGTGGTTTGGGAGGTTTTGTTTTGGTTTGTTTTTTCTTTACAGTGGGCCAGTGTGTTACATTCTTCCTGTCATTAAAAAAACAAAACCACAAAACAAAACAAACAAACAAAAATTTAAAAAACAGTTGAATTCTTTCTTTGTCTTACTTCATCACAGATTATAGGAATGCAAATATAGGAATAGCAAATATTTTTGTAGGTAGTGCTTGCTCTTGCAGAACAAAAAGGTGTTTATAGAGTTAAGACAATGTTACATGCTTTTTTCTTTCAGAACACTTTTTTTTTCCCAAGTTTTTTTCAAGTTCAGGCTGCTTTAAAAGGCTGTCTTCTGCCTTGCATGTCATCTCATCACTTGGATGTGAGGCTGTGAGGAGAAATGTGGAGCCTGAGAGGCCTAGCAGATCTGTCCAGAGAAGTCGTGGGCCTCATGATAAGAGCCAATGCTACATCCCTGCAAGCAGCTGACATTTGATGAGCGTCATTCGGGAAAACAATAATAAATACGATTCTCTTACAGAAGTATTTGAGCTCTTCTAGTACACAGTTATAACCTGAAGGCTGAAAGCATGCACCAATCTTGTTGTAGGAGACCAGAGTTTGTTCCCCACACGCACACAGATACATAGGGTGCATCCCTATTTTCCGTCAGTGAGTTTCTCTTGGATCAGTGACCAATGTCTTCAGAGGCTGTCAATAGGACTTCTCTTGAGATGCAGCATGTGTTTCAGTTGGCTAGTGCATGAAGTGCTTCACCCAGAGAAGAGGCACATCACCAGCAACAGCCACCCTGGGCTCTTC